AACATTTAGCATTCGAAGCTGCTAAAGCTTCTTATTATGGTCTCAGTGAACAACATGCTCTTGCTGCCATCACCTCTGTTCCTGCTAGAGCATTGGGAATTGACCATCGTGTTGGACGAATTGATGTCGGATATGATGCTGACGTTTTGGTATGGTGTTGATAGAATGAAATATTGGAATTGTATCAATGTTGCGCTTTGTTTTGTTGTTGTCTTACTAAATGTGTATTCGAACAATGCCGTTAAGGTATGGAATAGACATCCACTCGCCTTGGGCGCTTATCCATTGGAAGTTTATATTGATGGGATTCCTCAGTTTAACACTTCATCGTCCGTCCTAAGCGGTCCAACAGATGAGGCGTATACGTCCTACAATACGACGCGGCACTCTTCTGTGGATACCGAAGAACGTATCGTATCTTCGGTAATAATCAAGAACATTGGTAAAATATTCGTTGCCGAAGAATCCATCATGGAATCCACGCCTACTGGTTCACTCACAATAACCGTTAGCGAAGGCCGCATTATGTGTATTGGGCCAGATTGTACTATCACTAATACGATTGGATATGACGTGGTTGATTTGAAGGGTGGATACGTATTGCCAGTAAGCTTATTTTCATTAATCTTGACATTATCGTATTGTGAATAGCTTATAACACAATGCTTCATTCTAGGGCATCATTGCCGCTGGATCTAATCTTGGATTGTCAGAAATAGAACAGGAACAAATAACGCAAGATGGGTATGTCAATTCAGTTAAGAGTCCCGATCACCCAGAAAGAATAATTCGCGCAGTCGACGGACTAAAACTCGGTGGAAAGCATCTTGAGCAAGCATACAAAGGGGGCGTGCTTACTGTTATTAGCCCTCCGATGGCCCAAAAAGGCGTACTTGTTGGTGTGTCCGCCGCATTTAAGAGTGCCGGCAATAGTGGTAGGGCGTCGTTATTACATACATTATCGTTTAAAGATCATCAGCGGTCAAATACTTATAATAATACCACAACTTTTACAGTCATTGATGACGAGAATGAAGTTATTGCCAAAGCAGAAGTCGCACTACATGCACAAATTGGTACCCCATACAAAGACGGTATGCTTGCAATCAAACGACAATTGAGCTCTAGTTCGATACGTTCACCTGTCACCAGCATTCTAATCCCATTTTCTCATACACCTTACAAACAGAATCGATCACAACGGTATCCGGTCAAATAGCATTCTTGCGCAAAGCCCTTCTCGATAATCTCCAGTTGAAAGGGTCGCCAAATTTCTACGCGCTCGCCGCAAAAGGCGACATACCATTCGCAGTCTATACGCACAGCAAAGATGAAATTGCATCTCTAATTCGTCTAAAGGATGAAATAGATGGGGCAGGTGGCAAACTTCGACTAGTTATCGTCGGAGGAGCAGAATCTTATATCCTGGCATCTCATTTGGCCAAACGGAAGATACCGGTGGTCGTCACCCCGGCTAGACCTGTACCCGAACTGTGGACTGCTCAGAACGTACTCACTGGACCTCCCATTAGTAACAAGACACACATTGAGATATTGCACGAGCATAAAGTTTTGGTAGGTATTGGTGTATCAGATCCCAGTTTCGCAAGAAATTTGGTATGGGATGCTGGTTGGGTGTGCAAAAATTCGAAAAACAATGCAATTTCGGAAAAGGACGCAATTGGCTTTATTTCCTGGAACTTGGAGCAGATATTTGGGATCGATAAGCATGTCGAGGGCAAGGGCAGAAATAAGGGATTTTCGGTAGGCGCAATTGCGGATTTCGTCGCGTATGATGGTAGTCCGTTCGACATGGGAAGTCGGGTTAAGGTGGTTGCTGGTGGTGGAAAGAGGCAAATTATTATTGATCCTAAACAAGGCTAATTAATGGTTAAAAATGAGGGGAAGGGGGTGGTTTATAATTTTCTTTTTCCAAAGCCAAGAGTTAAGAAACTCAATAAATAGAGTAAAAACATGTCAAGAGTAATCAGAATTAGTGACTTGGGGTATCAATTCTAGAAAGAATACAGAACAATTACATATAACATGCGATTATCTTAATAAATAAACATCCCGTTCGCACAGGCTACAAAAATATGTGACACCAATGTCTAACAAAACCTAATTATTCTATCACAATCTCTTATACTCCCTCCTCCATTTATCGTCGATGTTGGTCAAGTAATACGTTCCCTTGAACAACACGTCACTAACTGCACTGCCATCTCCAACCGGCACGAAACCATTATTTCCGTATGTTCCTTCACGAAGACTCATGATTTCTTCAAATTTCGCTGGAGGCAATTGAACGCGGGATTGGAGACGAGAATGAAGATTAAGATTGTTGGCGATAGTGGTAAGTGAAGACGTTATACGGACAGAAAAGAAGGTAGAGGCCAGGCCGGAACCGTAAGAGAACATGCCAATACGTTTGTTAAGCTACAAAGATGGAGGGCACGATGTGAGTGACTTTATTGAACAAAGGTGAATAGTGATTGTATATTCCGTATTCTCACGTAACACGTACCAAATCGTCGCTGGGTATGTTGGATACAAGTGAGACTAGGCACCCATATAATGAAGCACAGTACATGTTCCCAACTTGCGAAGCCACATCCAGTGATGGCGACACTTTCTTTAGAAAATCTGCCTTTGACAGAGCAAGCAATGTCCTCTCCAAGTCTTTCGATGTCAGTGACTCCTCATACGTAAAATCTTTGAGAGAAGAATAGTCCGGGTTATCAGGATTGCGGCGGAAATCATTGTAGAAAAGCCTAGCAAAAGATTTCTGCACTAGTTTGCAGTAGGGTGAGTGAAACAAAACGTAGGCAAAATCGTTTATTGTTGGTGCGGGGGTATTTGGGTGCTAGAACAAGGAGTAGTTGCCAAGAGATGCGGTTGCGGTTATTGTGTGTATTAATTTATAAAACAGTATTGCTTTCGAAGAGTTGATCGGCGATACATGCCTTTGCTTCCAGTTTCTCAAGATAACGTGTATAGCACTTGTCTAATGCTCTCAAATAACACGTGTTGCTCAAATGCCCGTCGACTTCAGGATACTCTGTCTTCGAATTAGGTTTATCTAAAATAACACATTATCAACGTCAATAGGGAAAATTTTCTGCATGAAAAATTTTCCGATACTATCGATATCAGATTTTAAAAACTTACAAAAATCGTACACATGCTCCATATGGGTTGCTTTCAATCCGGACTCGAGCACGATTGGCGCATTCTTTCCTACCAGCAAGGCCACGCATCCTGCCCCGCCAGTCGGACGAGCAGGACCGCTGGCGTAGACTGCGATATCGCCAGCAACGACAAGAGCATACCGACCATCCCACGAAGACGATTCTACCCAGTTAACGGCATTAAAAAGTGCGTTTGTTCCGCCATAGCAAGCGTTGGTTGTATCGATGCCTTCAACGTCAGTATTGCCGGAATTGGCAAACAAGGTCATCAAGACAGTTTTTACCGATTTTGATTTATCGACTATTTAGGGTGTGAAGGATAAGTTTGACCAAGAGAAAAGAATATTGTAAGAATTAAAGACTGCTGGTTTGGCGACAAAGGAAACATTAATGAACGTGAAGATGATACGCACTAATTGTTTCTGTTCCTACTTCGAGACGACCAATGTCTTTGTATGATATGTTGTATTTTTCCATTAGATTCTGGACGGCTATTGCGAATTTATTTAAGCGGGTAAAGTATGAGCATGTGAAGCACGTAATTGAACGTATATTATGATCATTAAAACTTTTGTCAAGCCATTATCGTTATCGATGTCTTACTTGTTAATGCAATCGAATTGACATCTAAAGAAAAGACAAAACAAGTTTAGCTTAGCGGCATTACGCAATCTGTTCAAATATAAATGCTTTATAAACACTTGCCTTCGCGGTCATCACAATAACCCATCTTCTTTGTTCCTAATCCAACAGTGTACCTTCCAGTAGATACTCCATTAAATTGCTCGTATTCAGCCTGGTCGACGTACTAAACCGATGTATATTCAATTACAGTCGATGATATTTTTTGGTAATAGTCGATTTCGGGTAAAGAATACTGTTAATTTATTCTCCGTCATCAATCCATCTTTGGCATCGCAAGTCATTAGCAAAGCTTTCCCAATTCCCTTGATTCATTAAGCATCTTGTTTCGATGAAACTTACTCTCTTGGGGAAGTAAATCTCGATGGCAATGATACCAACGTTCTCTGGATATGATTTAGCCATTTTCTGATACGATGATTTAATTGACGGTTGAGAGAAAAGGGAGGGGGAAAGGTTCGGCGAGAATGGCGTTTAATTTATATACTTTTTTTTTTACATTATCACCACGATCAATAAATGAATTATTATGGTGACATTTAGTCGGTTAGCTCAGAACAATTACCAAACCAACCACGTGCGAACTGCAGGGGGCTAATTTATCAACCGTCACAGTAGTACCACAGTTTCTCAAGCATCTTATTTTTTTTTTGTGTTGGTCGATTGCAATCGAGAATATTTTGGGGCAAATCAAGATAATCATGCATAATATGGATATGCGTCGTCATCATTAAGATTACTGATTAGAACTAATCACGTTAATTCAGTCTTCCGGATGACAGAATTAATTGTCTTCCATTTTTATTATCAGTAGGTCGGCTTTATTCGGGTACTATCATGAAATAAACCCACTGCCTGAATATGACATAGTAATAGCATTGTTCTATAAAATTACTATTCGTTGTCGAATCGCGTTAGTGACAACCTGTCACTCTCAAATATATTTTTTGGCAACAATGTCGTCTTGTTGGGGTTGTAGGGTTGAATTTGTTTGGCTTGTTCTTCGGCGACCGCCGAGTATACGGTGCCAATGTTACCCAAACTTCCTTTAAGGGATTGGTAACATTATATCATTACTGCGAGGACTTTGGTTCGATAGATAAAACTTTCACATCATCAAGAATAGCTCTAAAGAAAGAAGCTTTTACGCAGGTCTTGACATTTCCTTGTAGTAGAATTTATATTGCTTGCACTTCATCACAGTTACAAGCACGAATAAAATGTCGAACATTCTGTAACGGTTTAGGTCACTAACTAGCGAATACATTATTACAACCATACGTCATTCATGTTCTTATAGCTTCTGATTAGTAGACTACTCAATATCAACAATGCTAGACCAGGATACACAATCGATATATTGACAAAAAAAAATCGTGATCAAATATTCGTGTCATTTATGTTTTTTACTCAGCCGTCCATAGTAACCATAGTAATAGCGGCTACTTCTTCTTTTAGTTAGAGACTATCAAAAGCTTAGGTCGCGTCCGAATTTCTCCAGTCGAGTCTGGAGAAAGTGCTTGAAGTGGTGGCTGTTCTGTAGCTAACCAATTAGAAAACCACCGGAGCACATTAATGATATGATTATCAATGTCAATAATCATTTTTGACCTTGCTAACGAATATTTAATTGCTGATGCGGCCATATTAACAGCAGATACATATTTTAAATGCCTTGATCCGTATATCTTATTATAATGCTCAATGACTTTGTCTTGGAGTTTGTTTAAAGCCTCTACTAAATCGTTTATTCTGGTAGTATGACCATTTAAAGAGTTCACTAGTTCATTTCTAACATAGCATCAACTGTTAGGCACACTTGAAAAGTCTTTATCCTTCACATTGATGCTCGTTTTCATTATGAGTAAGAGTTTGTATAAATTTGACAATAACTGGATTTCGCTCAGAAAGTTATTTAGAAGGAGAATACTCTAAAAGGCTAATCGCCCTTGGTTTTCAGTTAAGCTCGTTATATCATTGTATACATTACCTCGTTCCCCTCCATTACCAACTTAACACAATCTTGTTGGTCACTTAACAACTGTCTTCTTGGTGCTTCATTTTCTAATAGTAATCGTCTATTAAGATTTTCCAACTCGTCAATTTTTTTCACACGCATTTCGTGCGCTGGATCCAGCAAATATACTTGAGCTCCAAATCGGAAAAACTTTTTCAGATTATCAGTAAGTTTCTTCTTTTTCTTTCTACTTCTTCTGTATTTAAAAGACTTGAATCATCCTGCTTAGTTAGTTGTTCAATAAAATACTTTATGGTTGTAGTGTTTTTCGCGTAAAGAATAGTTCTCTAAAGAATCAAGCAATAATGATCATGCTTAGCCATTTCTGTTAGCTTTCTCACTGCTGCAGTAGCCGACGCATGTCTCCATCGTTGATTCTTATTGCATTAATTATAATCGAGTATTTATCGCCGCTTTTACGTAACAACACTGTTTTTGAAGAGAGTCGTCCAGAAATACACGTTTATTATTGGTCATAAATCAAAAAATCATACTTGCCCAAAAATTAACCTATATAACCGTAGGGTCCGTATTATTTCATCGACAATCATTTCACCGACAGTACATTTCACCGACAATTAACTACCAAAAAAGGATAACTTCGAAATAATGTTGGTGAAGATCTGTCGGTGAAATGATTGCCTCCCATAACCGTATTAATAATCCGAATTGTTACGGGGAAAAGCGGTATATTACGCACTCATTATAATAGTCGCTGTGTAACAAAACGTAACTCTAAAACTTGAATTGAGAAGAAACCACTTTGCAAGGTTGCGCGGATTGCATGAAGCTATATACTCGGACTTTGATATTCATTTACACCAATCAGATTTCGAGATACGCTCTGAATATTCTAGAATTTGATCTGCAAATTTCGAAAAATTCCACCTCACCACGATCAATATTCCCGTTATTCTCGGGTCAAATATCCAGAAGACAATAACACCTGCTGGGATGTAGTTACTTCGTTGCAAGGTTTAGGTTTGTTATGATTTGGGAGAAGTTCGAATTTATCACTAACTCAATTGTCAATTGCAAAAGTTTTGATTACGATCCTGGAGCATTATGTTTGTTCTCGTATCTCATCTGTAAAGTAGAAGCGGGTAATATATTGGTTGGAGTTGATACTATTTTTCTGGTTGATGGGATACATTCTGGTGTTTCTTTAAATGCCGGGACAATTATGTGTTTTTGGTTGCAGGGGATATTCATTGACGAGTTACCTTACAAAGTGTTGGAAATTCTAGATCGATTAAAAGTATACTGCAATTCTCGCCCGCTCGTTTGCGTTCAACTCAAGAATAATACTACCGGACAGTTTCTCACCACTAGCTCCGCACCGCGTACGATAGTCCTTATACGGCTTGGTTTACCGATTCGATCTTCATGCCATGGCGATATAATCAATTATAAATCGAATGCGGTTCACTTTAGTAGTAGGGATGTCTTGATATCCAATTTGAAAAAATCTTTATTAAGTAAGTAGCTCATAAAGAACCAGCTTCAACTTATGTAGAACGGAGGAGAAATTCTAGGAATAATAATGAGGCGTCTGTCCGATTACGACAGCCGAATTCCTAAATGTTTCGCAAGACGTATGCGTTTATTTTCAACCGTTCCCGTATTTTGTAACCGGTAAAAGGTTAAGAGAGCGTCTATGTTTTGACCTTTATAAATGATTAGTTTAGTAAATTATTATAAGTTCAGATTGTGCTAGGATACATACGTGTCATTGCGCGAAGCGCGGCAATTGTTTCTGGGTAATTTTGTGGCACATTGCCAGTCGTATCTGAAATGACTTCCAGTGTTGTATCTGGAGCGGTTATACGCAAATTTAATACGCGTGCAAGATTTCTTGTATCCCTAAAATATAAGAAGTATAATCATTACTTTTCTTATTCATGATATAAACAAAAAAAAACATACATGTTATCGATTCTGTCGGTCAACGCGTCGATTCTGTTGGTCATCGTAGTGGTCAACGCATCGATTCTGTTGGTCATCGTGGCTGTCGTAGTATCAAGTCTGGTTATCGCTGTTTGTATTGCCGTCAAGGTTCTCGAAATGTCCAAACTTGGGATGTTGTCTACCAAGGCCGTTTCTTGAGAGATCGTTTGTAAAGCTTGGCTCATGGCGGTGAAATTGGGCTGTTGTCGTTGCTAAAGTAAATAATAACCTTTACAGAAACCTGTAGTTTTTATAAATCTCTGTGATATCAGAATAAGGTTTCTAATTTTAGTGTATCGTGAAGATGTGCCCACGAGATTTCGGGGATGCATGGAAATTTTACGAAGCTAGCAGAATCTCATGACAAGATTGCCAGGATACTAATAGAAATTTGGCAATTTGTTGGTGACATCATGACGAGATGTTTGCAATATTTTCTGATTGTAAATGTCACATAGTTATCAGCACAACGTCCTGCAAATCTCATCGAGACATTTTTAAAAAATGCAAGTTTCTGTAAAGACATAATCAGTTTTTTTTCTACGAAGTCTTTTAAGCGTTTTTTTTTATTTATTTACCATTGGGATAATCGAAATCGTTAGAGAGAGAGAGAGAGAGAGAGACTTTCTGTGGGTCATAATATACCTTATTTTTGGAGGTCACATGCTATAGAAACATTTAGAGTGCAGAGTGATAAAAAATATAGGGTCTACCTCCCCTATCAGATTTGACAATCGAAGTTACTAAAATTAGCAATCAATGTAGGGGAGGTAGAGGGGAGGTACCATAAATAGTAATTGACAGAGAACACCAATATACAGTGTGTCAAAAAAAAAACCGGAATAAAATTTTTATTCACTGTGTCTCAATGAATGGACCAAATTAAATGGTT